ATGTGACGTATACTTGCCAACATTTAATTGTCAATGTGACGTATACTTACTAACAATTCATTGTTTATGTGACGTAATCTGACTAACGATTCATTGTCTATGTGACGTATCCCTACCAATCACTGAGCACCACTACCCCGCCAGAGAAAATATTGTTAAAAATCTCCACCTCACACTATTAGTTTGAAGATTATCTATTGATGTATCTGTAAAAGTCAGCCTATTGTAACATTTTATATTGAACAAACAACGGTGATACTGACTTGTAAAGAAGGTCTCGGAGGATTTATCTATAAAAGTAGCACGAGGATAAGGGATATTTTGAAGGCCTTCCATCTTTCGTGTTCAGAAGACAAATGTTTCTAAGATTGTTTAAAGAAATATTTTAGTTTCAAGCAGCTTCGTATAGGAAAATATAAATGCTTATACTACTTTGTTTATACGTTTAGAAACGGTATTTACATCATCTGAGTGAAATTATATACACCTTTTTAGAATAATTGGATAAAAAACTTATGTACATTAGGTATCGGTTACAACTTAGCAATTATAAGTACAACAAGGGACCAACAAGATGGCCGCTGTATAACTTCCAGTGACTTCCTATTACGGATAGAGCTTCCCTTGACCCAATCCCTAGTGGCTTAGCGGTAAGTCTGAAGTCTTGTAAGGCTAAACATCGAATTTCTATACCCGCAATGGGCAGAATACAGATAGCCCATTGTTTATATTTGCGTTTAACAACAAACAAACAAATAAAAACCCTTAATCTCAAATCTCCAGTGACGTAAGTGTTGTTTTTAAGCACAAAGCTACACAATGGGCTACCTGTGCTCTGCCCACTGCGGTTATCGAAAACCGATGTTTAGCGTTCTAAGCCCTCAGGCTTCCCGCTGAGCCACCGGGAGGGGGGGTGAACGATGTTAGATACCTCCCTCATATTGATTGGTTTGTTTGTAATTAAGCACAAAGCTACACAATGGGCTATCTGTGCTCTGCCCACCACGGGTATCAAAGCCCGGATTCTAGCGTTGTAAGTCCGCAGACATACCGCTGTGCCACTGAGGGGCCTTATTGATTGGACTACACTAATTACTTCCCCCACTTGAATCATTACTGGTACCCTTCAACGCCCTGACCTCATCTGACCTTTTGTTAACGCTGAGCGTTCGATCCTTTTCGATTTTCTTCTCTGACAATATAATGAACTGATTGGGCTTCCAGTTCGAATTGTTTATTTTCAATTCAGATGCTAAGTTTCTACATGGGTAAAACCAAGCTTTTTCACATTCTAGAACTTCGATAGTAACTTTTTCTTTGACCCTTGGCCCCGAGTTCATGTATAAATCCGTTTCGTGTGATTAGTACTTTTGGCGGGTCCTTACATTCTGCTCTGGTTCATATCAGTCTGAAATCTAAGTTACCCATTACAGTTCGTGAAATGCTGGGGGAATGAACCCCTATAGAAAGTGTTTGAAAAGGGCAATTTGGTCTGCAAGTCATTTTATACTATCTTATCTTTTCAAAAAATCGGTAGATGGCGTTGCTTTGATTATTCATGATAGAAATAGAAAATAAGAGTAGACGCGTTTCAAAGTCTGTGTTACATTTAACTCTCTCTCTCCCTCTCGTGCATTAAAATTGCCCCGGCCAGCTGTAATCAAGGAAATAGCACATTTCTGTTAAAGCGATAGATAAAAAAAGATCAAAGTAGGGATTGTTTTTGCTAGCCACGTGACCAGATTTCCTAAGCTAAAGAAAGCAATAGATCCGAGGTAGAACTAGATTACAAACCTGCATCAGTTCTAGTTTCTTGTAACAAAAAACAGGCTATTGAACTGTCGAGGGAGAACAAAGACAGTCAACCATAAACCTAGGACTTGAATTTTTTATTCTACATTTTATGTATCACGTGATAAACAACCACGTCAGTAACCTTTAGGTTTCAGGTATAACCATCCTTAATATTGTTCTACTGGCTCATAACACTAAAAACTGGGTTTTCGATACACGTAGTGTGTACAGCACAGATACCTATCGTGTTGCTTTGTACTTAACTACAAACAAACAAACTGACCTTAAGGAAAGCGGTTAATCAGGGGATTTGACCGTCATTCTTATATCACACTTACAGCAGCATCACGTTTCGAAATTTCGGATTCTTCTATCCTCAGCCCGACAGGCTAACCATTAGGTCAGGCGCAGCCCGCATGAACATAGATATAGGGAAAATTTCTAGAGAATATCTTAGTTAGTAATTAATCGTTTATCATAAGCGACTGAATGAAGCCGATAAAACAAGTACTCCGTTATTTAGTTAGTTTTTTTTTTAGACACGACACACCTAGTCGTCAGAAAGAAATGCATTCGAATATTACAAAAAAGAAAACTTGAAAAACGTGCAACTAATGATTATCTATCATTGAAGTCTTGACTCTTTATCGGTACAGGAGTGCCATCTGGTGTCAAAATTTTATTACTGAAGTTCTGGCTCTTTATCGTTATAGAAGTGCCATCTGGTGTCAACGTTTAGTTGCAAATAAAGTGTTTATATGTGTATACATATATATATACCGAAATTTACTTGTAACTACCAGCTGTCACCAGGTGGCTCTTGTTCAATTAAATGGATTTGAAGTTTGATGAATCTCTTATTGGAATGTTTAAAGTTATGGAGTTCTAATACAATTTAGTGAAGCAAAATAACAAAATTGCCTGTTAAACCGGTAATCAAGATACAGTAAACCTTTGATGGTTATGTTTTATAAACTATGAAAATCGGGAATAAAAAGGACAAAACAAACCGTAACATCAAGTTTAAAATTATAGTGTAGGGAACCATATAACGCATCTTGGGTTTCGAGGTATCTGAAAATGTAGGGCGTACAAAACGGTAGGGATACAAGATTCAACCTCAATTCTGGCAATAAAGTTAGAAATAAAAACAACCATTACTCTTTACGAAAGTATTAGGCCCGGCATGGCCAAGGTGGTTAAGGCGCTCGACTCGCATTCTGAGGGTCGCGGGTTCGAATCCCCGTCACACCAAACGTGCTCGCCCTTTCAGTTGTGGGGGCGTTATAAAGTGATGGTCAATCCCACAATTCGTTGGTAAAAAAGAACCCCCCAAGAGTTGGGGGTGGGTGGTGATGGCTAGTTGCTTTCCCACTAGCCTTACACTGCTAAATTAGTGACGGCTAGCGCAGATAGGTCTCGTGTAGCTTTGCGCGAAATTACAAAAAAACAAACGAAAGTATTCTTTTTAATCTGGAGAGTAATAAAGAAAAGTACAGTACTGCTATAAATATAAACCAACATAAAAATCCTATCTGCTGGAAAGGCAGAACTATTTTTAGTTCTGCCACAAAGCTTTTGTAAGTTCGGGGATTTCAGAACATACTTGAAAGTAGGTGACGCTAGTGAGTATTTAAAGGTTTAATACCGAACATACTTAAAAGCAGGTGGCGCTAGTGAGCACTTAAAGTTTAATACAGAACATACTTAAAAGTAGGTGGCGCTAGTGAGCACTTAAAGGTTTAATACATGACATATTAGAGAGTAGGTGGCGCTAGTGAGCACTAAAAGGTTTAATACAAAACATATTTGAAAGTAGGTGGCGCTAGTGAGCACATAAAGTTTAATACAGAACATATTCGAAAGTAGGTGGCGCTAATGAGCACTTAAAGGTTAAATACAGAACATACTAGAAAGTAGGTGGCGTTAGTGATCATCTACAGGTTTAGTAGACATGTAATGAAATTGTTTAGAACAATAAAGCAGAAGAGTTCAATAAATATTCAACTTTCATCGGCCATATTGTCTTAACAGCCTCAGTTGTTTTGTTGATCACTCAGCCAGAGAAAAGAGTGGGATTGAGGCCCTGACTCCCACGGGTCCCAGGCTTCTGGATGTTTTACGTATGCAAATGAATCTAATACATGTGTGTGATGACGCACTTATAAACGCACGGTCTTCGTTTATGTTTTGATACTTCGTTTCTCACGATCTGACCTTAATAACTATTTTTCTTGAAATGTCTGACTTGTTAGAGAACACAACTTTTTTGACAAGGATAACCAGGAAGCCAGAGTTTTGTTTTCCTGCATGTATTACCGAGCGCATCGCTTGCACGTGCGTAGGAAGTAGGTCATGTATATTGATTCAGGTACAAGTTTGGGGGGTGTAGTAAGTAAAATTCCATACAGGTTGCTTAATTCTGTTCGTTACAGTGATTCTCCAGCGGTTTTTATCATTGTTGTGTTGCCATGGGAAACAGTGTTCGGGCGAAATACCGCTAATATAAGGAAGGCCATGGATATGGATTAACTTTGTTTTAGGTGATCGTACCTTTCACGGAGTTACGCAGCAGCCTTGTTATTACTTTATTACCTACGGCGACCTCGTGCGACCAACGAAGCGAGTTATATGTGTATCGTGAAGTGCTCGAAGGAAAATGAACATACTCGCAAACTGAACCACGAGGCCTGATAATAACTGATCCTTCCCATAATCCTCTGAGTATGTTATTATTTTTCCACGGCTGAGAAGTTACGAGAATTATTTTACTAACCGGACTATTATCTAATACAGTGACAGGGATAAGAAAGCACGCCTTGGTGGCGTAAGGAACCGAATTAATCGGTAAACAAATCACGTGTCAATGTGTTATTGTGTAATCCAGCATACACTGATGAAGTTATTGTGCTTTAACACGATCGCTAGTAAAATCACGTGACATTGAGATGTGTGATAAAACAGTGGCTCCAGTTGACTAACTCAGTGTTTGGTTTCTCACAACGAGACAGTGAATCCAATGGACTAACTCAGTGTTTGGTTTCACACAACGAGAGAGTGAATCCCGTGGACTAACTCAGTGTTCGGTTTCACACAACGAGACAGTGGCTCCAGTTGACTAACTTAGTGTTTGGTTTCACACAACGAGAGAGTGAATCCCGTGAACAAACTCAGTGTTCGGTTTCACACAACGAGACAGTGAATCCCGTAGACTAACTCGGTGTTCGGTTTCACACAACGAGAGAGTGAATCCCGTGAACAAAATCGATATTCGGTTTCTCACAAGGAGAGAGTGAATCTCATAGACTAACTCGGTATTCGGTTTTTTACAACGAGAGAGTGAATCCCGGGGACTAACTCAGTCTTTGGTTTCTCACAGCGAGAGAGTAAATCCCGTAGACTAACTCGGTATTCGGTTTCTCACAACGAAAGAATGAATCCCGTGGACTAACTCAGTGTTCGGTTTCACACAACGAGAGAGTGAATCCCGTGGACTAACTCGGTGTTCGGTTTCACACAACGAGAGAGTGAATCCCGTGGACTAACTCAGTGTTCGGTTTCACACAACGAGAGAGTGAATCCCGTGGACTAACTCAGTATTCGGTTTCCAACAGCTATAGTTGTTTTTGCTTTAGAAACTTAACTTCGCTGTTTGAACTCGGTGATTGTCTAAAACTAAAAGTCATTTGAACCGAGGTTGGTGATACACATGGTCTCATTTTGTTTGAACGTTTTGACTTTTTTTCCCGTCAATATTTGGATTTTTTGGGGAGTGACAAAATATGCGTTTGCTTCTTAATGAAGTGAAACTATTTTACTCTGTTGAAAAGTAAATAATACAAAGGATACAGAAGAACAGTAAACGGAGTTTCCTGGAGTTAACTGTACCGAATATCCTCATCGGGTTATATATATATATATATTGGTTAAGAAGGAATTTCGCTTGCTAAAGACTGAAGCTGTATTTTTATCACTTGGGTGTTGCGTTATCAGGTCAGTCAAAGAGGTGACTAGAGATTAAGCCAGATCAAGCAACTAAACAATTCAAACATCAGAGCTACAGAACATGGCGGATATTATCCGGTATCAAAGTCATCCGTCTCGTGAATCGGCTCCCTCACTTTTTTACAACTATCGTCACCGTAGGGACCGACGTCACTCTCCACCCATCATTCAACCTTCACGGCTTTGTCCCCTACATCCCTCTAAGAGGAGTTACAGTTGTGAAATGGTCCTCGACGGACGAACGGACAGGTCCTTTAAACACCGCGTAAGTGTCTTAGGTTATCTGAAAGATCAGACTTTGGAATATTTTTAATCCTAAACTTACTGATATGTTTTAATCCCGCTTACTACCATTGAGGGGGAGCGGGGGGAGGGTCCACACATTGCACATTTATAAGGAATTTTTTTTCTATTACAATAATCTGGTAAAGAAGTGACCGAATATTTGGAAGAAATGATTAGGGGGATTAACTGAACTATTGATGGTGTTTTTACTCACAGTTAGGGGGCGCTCGACTCGCAATCTGTGGGTCGCGGGTTCGAATTCCCGTCCCACCAAACATGCTCAGCATTTCAGTTGTGGGGGCGTTATAACGTGACGGTAAATCCCACTATTCGTTGGTAAAAGATTAGCCCAAGAGTTGGCAGTGGGTGGTGATGACTAGCTGCTTTCCCTCTAGTCTTTCACTGCTAAATTAGGGGCGGCTAGCGCAGATAGTGTAGATAGCTCTCGTGTAGCTCAGCGCGAAATTCAAGACACTAACTAACACTGCTAATAGGCAAAAACCAAGAAACATCACCTGACAACATTATTAAAATATACAAAACATATATACGTCCCATAACAGAATACGTCAGCCCTGCGTGGATAAACATAGCTCCCATACGTATAAATAAGCTACAAACTATACAAAACACACTTATCACCACAGCATATAAAGTCCCCCGCAGTACCTCATCAAAATTCATGCACAGACGTGCAAACATACAAACAATAGCCGATAGACTCTTGCACAATACTATAAATTACTTTGCAAAAAATTGGCAAAAGAATGACCTATTCTGCGAACTTGATCTCTACTACATACATAATGGAAGTAGGCCTAAGCACCTCTCACCTGTAAACATATACCTTAGAAATAAAGATGTAATAACGCCACCTATTACTAGACTTTAAAACCCTACACTAGTTAGAACCTAAGAACAATACATTTAATAGGGTATTGTTACGTCTCCGTTTGTTAATTGATTTTTCCGTAACTTCGTTCCAACGAAACGTTAACGACACAAGTCTTTACTTAATAAAACTGGTTTATTCTTTCCGAATATAACTCTGCGATACACTTAATCTCAATACTCGCGCTAAAACAACACTGTAACGAACGAACGTTAACTTCAACAGTACCCTCTGACTGCAGTTCAATTACTCACTGTCTATACACACATTACGTTGACACCCTCTCTTATATACCCGACCACCCTATATCCAGTAAATACTAGAGCATTCGCCAAAGTACATGATAGTTCTAGAAACGTTGCGTCACAGTAGTCATGTGACTCGCTGACGCAACAGTATTTTATGTAAAATGTATTCGATTAGTCTCTAACTAGTGAAATGTGTTGTGTGCATTATGGAACTGACTTAGAGATATAGTGCAAAACACAGAATGTAACTGTTGATATCTACATGGACATTGTCCTGAAAGGGGTCGGAGCAAGTGCGGTTTACTCCGATCCTCGTGTTGTATCAACACCATCATTCATCGGTAGTAAATCACAGTCCGGAAAGGAGCTAGTCAACCTCACCCACTCCCAACTGTTGAGCTACTCTTTATCAACGAAAAGTGGGATTGACCATCACGTCATTAACGCTTCACGGCTGAAAGGGTGGATATGTTCAGTGGCAGGATTCAAACCCGCGACCCACAGATTGCACGCCAAACACCCTAGGGTCCTGTAACCCGACACCCTTTTGTTTATTTACATTGAAAAAAAAAACAACTCGAGGTGAAAACTTTTACAGATTCATGCTAATAATTATGGTATTCAGATGTGCTGCATAACCCTTGAAATCTTACGTCAAATCTGATTTCAGAATCTTTTTTCGTGACCATCTTGGCTTATAAGATTAAAATAACGTTCTAATCTCGTGAAGCGAGAACAACAATAATATTAACCAACGGTATGAAGGTGCCTATGGAGACGAAGATACTGTTTTTAAATAGTCAATAACACTATTGGTTAATATCATTGTTGTTCTCGCTTCACGAGATTAGAACATTATTTTAGGCATGTGTTCTCTAATGTGTCAAATTATGGTAATTTTTCTTGATTTATATTTTAAAAGATTTTTCTAGAAGCATGAACAAGCAGTTTAACCATTTAATTTGAAGGTTCCACACCCACATGGCTCAGCGATAAATCTGAGGTCTTATAACGCTAATTTAAAATAGAAAGTTTAAAGCGCCATCTGTGAGACTTGTATTTATTTAACTTCCCGAAATCTGTCCTTCGTTGTTTTTCTTTTCTATTATTCTTTATAAGTTGCCCCCCCCCCCAGTGGCACAGCGGTATGTCTGCGGACTTACAAGGCTAGAGACCGGGGTTCGATACCCGTGGTGGGCAGAGCACAGATAGCCGTTGTGTATCTTTGTGCATAATTAAAAAAACAAACAAACCTTATAAGTTAAGATTTCCTGAAGGTTTTATATAAGGGAGTGTGGTCTAAATTTAGGATCAAAACGAATTTGTTTTGGCCAAAGTTCTATAATTAGAACTTACAAATTACAAAACATTTGTTATCGCACTATTTGTATTCGTTATATTTGTTACATTTATTACACAATACCAGTACAAGTAGAGCGTTTCAGTTTATTGAACGAGATTTAAAGCTTGGACAATACTGAGTTTTTGTGTGTACATACTCCTACAGATTCAGTTCGTATTGAGTTTATATTCTACAGATTAAAAAACGTTTTTTTACGGCAAACAATTATACTTCCTAACGACAGAGTAAAGCATTCCCTCGGAAAACTCTCATTTGTTTTGTTTACATTGGTGTAAAGTATTTTTAATATAACTGTTCTGCTCTAATTCCCCCCATCCTCCCTCAGGGTACAGAAACAAGACGCGACAAATCACAAAAAACTAGCATTTTGACTTGTACCCCTGGTTTTGTATTCACTCGTACTTCCTTGTTGTTGTTTTTTTTAAACAAAAAGTAATGTTTTACATGTTGTATATTAATTTAAGGGACTATTATTAGCTCGTGTTCTCACTTTCCCAAGATATTCCGCCATGTAACAGTCCATCCAGGTGTAAAAATTTTTGTTTGTTTGTTGAATTTCGCGCAAAGCTACTCGAGGGCTCTTTGCGTTAGCCGTCCTTAATTTTGAAGTGATAGACTAGAGGGAAGGCAATTAATCAACAACACCCACCGTCGACTCTTGGGCTACTGTTTGCCAACGAAGAATGAGAATGGTCGTTACAGTATAACGCCCCCCCCCTTCCCCTTCCGTGCTGAAAGGAGCTACCATGTTTGGCGAGGATTTTCGATCTCGCGACTGGGGTATGTTTAAATGTTTTAATAAAACCACGTGCCAATTATAGATGCTATAAGTATGGTTGATTGAGTGTTAGCAAATGTGATTGATAAGTTGATTGTTGAAACTGTTTCATCTTTAATTTTAGATAGATAGAGAGACTAACAGACAGAAAGATAGGTTAACAGACAGATAGAGAGATAAGTAAACATAAACAGATATATAGATACAGACAAATAAATAGATAGACAAATAGAATAACAGACAAAGACAGATAAATAGACAAAGATATGGAAACAGTCAGAAAGATAAGCAGATAAGAGGCTTAACATAGTTTATCTATATCGACACAGTCATTGTGACGTCATGTTGAATGTGATGTTTTGTATTTTTTTCTAATGCTTATCATTTAATTAAGAATTTTGGGATTTTTTTTTAGTTTAAGGTTATCGGGGCGGATTATGGGTATTAAAATAAGACAGTCCTAAATTATATATTCGCACTAACTTATGGCGCTTTGTCATGGCTAAGTGATAATTTATAGAGCTTATAACGTTAAAAATCGGGGTTCAATACCCACTATGGTTTACAAACTCGCCAGTAGAAGAAAGTCGAAAAAAAAAGGTGTTGTGTAATCTATATTATATCACCTGAGTTCTTTTCCTTCTGATTTCACAATCGGTTTCACTGTAAAGATTTAAAACACGTGTATACAGCGACACCTGGTGGCCACTTGAATTTTTCGACCGGTTCTGTACAGTGAAGACGGAAAACTCGTACGTGGGCTGTTAGAAGGCCGTCAGGTGGTAATGGTTGCGTGATAAAAGTTATTATCCGTTTGACCTTCATCCAGATGATCACCTGATTCTTGACCCTACACGTGTGTGAGACGCTCAGAGTTGAAGCCGTAAAGTTTGCGAGAAAAGTAAAGAACCCGTTTGTTTGTTCTGAATTTCGCGGCTAGCGCAGATTGCCCTCGTGTAGCTTTGCACGAAATAAGAAAAAAACAAAACAAAAACAGACTTGCACATTTTGGGAAATTAATAAGTGTTTTAATTAATTATAAGTTAATTATCTGTATGTTCTGGAGTACTCAAAATCTCCGACCCAATTCAACACGTGGGTTTAGAAAGGATGCAGTTGCTAAATTCATCTTCTGTTTTTTTGTTTGTGTGTGTCGTTGCAGCATGGACCGGAAGCTAACATCCAGAACGGGGAGAGAGATACAGAACAGAAGCCCAAGTTTATTCCAGTCACAAGACTGGAAGATGAAGAGGTCATCAGAACTGTCGAGTTCCATCCCAGCGGAAGCTTTTATGCAAGTGGGGGTAATGCGAATACCTTACGAATCTGTGCATACCCAAAACTGCAATGAACTGAGGTTTGTGTTTCATTAAAACATTACTGTCCACACCCAAGACTGCATGAACTGAGGTTTGTGTTTCATTAAAACATTACTGTCCACACCCAAGACTGTATGAACTGAGGTTTGTGTTTCATTAAAACATTACTGTCCACACCCAAGACAACATGAACTGAGGTTTGTGTTTCATTAAAACATGACTGTCCACACCCACGACTGTATGAACTGAGCTTTGTTTCATTATAAATAATATAATTGTTAATTTCTTGTTGTTGTGTTTTTTTTTAAGAAAAAATATAAATATTTATTTTCATTTCTTAAAGTTTGAAAGACTTATATGCGGGCACGCACGAAACGTTGGTTTGGAAACCGTTTGTGATTGAACAAAATCCAGATCGAGTATTAACCTCTATATTTTCCACATCCAGTGAAAACTACGAGACTCACGAGCCGACAGTATTGTTGAAGAGGATGAAGCATCACGAGGGGTCTATCTACTGTCTGGCCTGGAATGGAACCGGCGATCTTCTCGCAACAGGCTCCAACGATAAGTCAATCAAGTTGACAAGATTCAACCAAGAACTTTGCAATGTAGAGGGTAAATAAATTATTACGTGTAACGAGCTTTAGTGTAGAGACGACGTTTCTTACAAAGGCCCTCGTTGGTAGTTTGAAATGATCACACTGTGAGTTTCGTTTAGTTTTATGTAAAAACTGAATTGTTGAGGAAGCGGTTTCTGTTTACTTTGTTAATGAGATATTTTACGAATTTAAGAATTGGAGGTAAGAGCTGTTACGTTTCCACTGAATCCCATAAGTTAAAAAATTAAGTGTCTTCATAGAATCCCTCTTTTCGATCAGTTCTAGTATATTTCCACTGAATCCCATAAGTTAAAACATTAAGTGTTTTCACAGAATCCCTCTTTTCTATCAGTTCTAGTATGTTTCCGCTGAATCCCATAAGTTAAAAATTAAGTGTCTTCATAGAATCCCACTTTTCGATCAGTTCTAGTATATTTCCACTGAATCCCACAAGTTAAAAAATTAAGTGTCTTCATGGAATCCCTCTTTTCGATCAGTTCTAGTATATTTCCACTGAATCCCACAAGTTAAAAAATTAAGTGTCTTCATAGAATCCCTCTTTTCGATCAGTTCTAGTATATTTCCACTGAATCCCACTAGTTAAAAAATTAAGTGTCTTCAGAGAATCCCTCTTTTCGGTCAGTTCTAGTATATTTCCGCTGAATCCCATAAGCTAAAACATTAAGTGTTTTCACAGAATCCCTCTTTTCTATGTGTTTTAGCGTGTTTCCGCTGAATCCCTTAATTAAAGACTCAAGTTTGTTTCCAGGGAATCCTTCTTTATTATGGGTTCTAATTCGTTTCTTTAGGGCCTGGCATGGCCTGATGATTAGGGCGCTCGACTCGCAGTCTATAGGACGCGGGATCTAAACCCATTATCGAACCTGCTCGCCATTTCAGCCGTGAGATCGTTATAATGTTACGGTCAATTCCATTGTTCAAGTAGAGTAGCCCAAGAGTTGGCGGTGGGTGTGCCTTCCCTCTAATCTATTAATACACAATTAGGGACGGCTAACGCAGATGCCGCTTAGTAGCTTTGTCCGAAATTCAACAAACAAACAACCAAACGTTACCATAGAACCCCTTAAGTATGTTTACTTATAAACCCTCTTTGCTGCTACGATTTTATAACCTTTAAACGGGGGACTTCTATGGAACTTCTTTACTAAAGAGTTCTAATAAATATAGTTCTATCAGTGCCTCTATCGCACTTCCGTAGAATTCCTGTTTATAGAAGCTTTAGACTCTTTGGATTATATACTCGAAACGTGTTTTATTTTTATTTAAAACTCAAATGTCCTTCACAGATGAAAATCCTTCAGTGTTTTGAAAAATGTTTAATTTCACGACATAAAATCAATTTATTCATTAAAGTGAAAATTCAGCTGTTTGATAAAAATTAAATAAACATACAGTTAACAATTAATTTTGACAAATTAAATAGACATGCAGTTAAGAATTAATTTTAACAAATTAAATAGACATACAGTTAACAATTAACTTTGACAAATTGAATAAACATACAGTTAATAATTAATTTTAACAAATTAAATAGACATACAGTTAACAATTAACTTTGACAAATTAAATAAACATACAGTTAACAATTAATTTTGACAAATTAAATAGACATGCAGTTAAGAATTAATTTTAACAAATTAAATAGACATACAGTTAACAATTAACTTTGACAAATTAAATAGACATGCAGTTAAGAATTAATTTTAACAAATTAAATAGACATACAGTTAACAATTAACTTTGACAAATTAAATAGACATGCAGTTAAGAATTAATTTTAACAAATTAAATAGACATACAGTTAACAATTAACTTTGACAAATTAAATAGGCATACAGTTAACAATTAACTTTGACAAATTAAATAGACATACAGTTAACAATTAATTTTGACAAGCGATTATGATCTAATCTCGAAAGAATTGTTTTTTGCAATTAAACACAAAACTACACGATGGGCTATCCGTGCTCTTCCCACATGTTTAGCACTACAAGCCTCCGCTGAGAAACATTTCTTTGTGTTTAGGTAAATTTGAAAGCTAATTCTCGAAGCTTCGATGCAATGAGGCATTAGTTGGCGAAAATTCGGTCTTTGTATTTCGGTTTTTTTGTTGTTGTTTTTTTTATGGACCAAAGCTACAGTAAAAGGTGGTATAATTCTAAACTTCCTTCTACAAGAAAGACCAGATTTGGAGTATTTAAAATCAATAAAAGTCAGTAAAATGCATATCTTCCTCCTAGGTGGAGTGTCAGATTTAAAGTTTTAAGAAATGTCCACCTTCATGTAAAAAAAGATGATTATATAAACCCAAAAAATATCAAATTTGAAGTATTATGTGTTATAGTTTTATTACTGATTTACAAGTGGTGTTATGGTTGTATTATTGACTCACAGGTGGCGTTATGAAGCTGGCCGTGCACAAAGGAACTGTACGAGACTTGTGTTTCATGGAAGACTTGAGTAACCGGTCCAGCCTGCTAATCAGTGGCGGCTCCGTGGACAATAAAATCTTCATAACCGACTGTGAAACAGGAACGACATTCCAGACCTTTACTGGACATTGCGGTCAGTTTCTACGTTAGACTAAAGCCACAGGCACAAGCTTACTGAAGTGATTAAACAATTACGAATTATTCTACGACCCCCATTCTACAATACTTGACGCCTCCTATGTAACGGATACTAATCCCCCGAAACGCTTAAAACTGCAAGGGATAATTTCAAAAAAAAGTAACCCATAATGCCTCAGAAGAACAACACGTTTCTCAGTCTTGCGCCTGTGACTTTAAAGACCACTTTTTTTTACCGTGTTATTGATGAAAATATTGCTAGCAATCCATTTCAATTTCTGGACTAACTAAGTAAATTGGGCTAGTTTAAGGTTCGATTTTGTTTAATTGTTGAAACATGAATTCAGGAGACTTCGTGAAAGTATAGTCTACAATATGTGTGATGCTAACAAAAATAATTTCTCTGTCACATGCAGTATTAGAAACAATTATGGAAAAGCACTTACAGGTGTTACAAGCAATGTGTAATTGTAACTAAATGGTTAATCTATCATTATTATAAAGAGTGAATAAGCTGATCAGTTGTACAATGCACTAGTGTGTACTTGAAACTACGATTATATAATGTTGTTTCCAGATGATGTAGATCAATCCCCACATTTCGGCCAAGTTGCTTGATTGCCATTTAATAATCTCATTTTCCATATAAATCATAATAATATTATTCCTGTGGGATGTTTGGGAAGATCAACCCATATTTGCGAGCGAATGGGCCCCTTTTTTTTCCCTTCAGGTATCATTTTCCCATGTTCATCATATGCTTGTGATGACTGCTTTGCTGGAAAGTGAATTTCAAACTGGTCCTGCTTGTGAGGTAAAGACATGATGGAGAAGATCATGATTATACCTGGCAGCAGTCAGGGTGCCATCAATTGTACAAAGATTTCCAACAACATTAGCTGTGATGCAGCCCAAGCTTGTATTGGTCCCCCAATATGCTTCACTATAGATGTTGTACGTTTACCATGATGCTCTCTGCCATAGAATAGTTTAATGTTGCTAAACAATTTATATTGGGTAAATTTGGATTCATTTGTAAATGGTACCTTCTTTCACCTTTGCTGATCCTATTGTTTCCATACTGAAATATGAAATTTTGCCACAATTTGTCACATGGAGTAGCCTTCACCAGCCATCACTTTAATTTTTATACGTTTATTATGTGGATTTCTGTCCTGAGAGTCACGAATGCATTATCATACTACAACTGGGAACGGTTTCACTGCCTATGCTTTTTATAGCCATTGTGACCACGTGGCACTGTCTGATTGGTTGGATGACAGCCATTAATAGTGCAAACAATCAACACGTGACTGTACTCTGGTGCAGTTGATTTTCATGCCGTAGAAGTGGAGTAATCACTCAATATTTTCATTTTGCTACCCTTTTCCAAGATTGTTTGTAATATTATATGTAGTGATAGCAAAATTATGGTTTACTTTTTATGAAATTGTACTTATAGTAATAAATATACAACGAGAAATGTCATAATGGAATCTTTGAATTTCTGAAGTTATTTTTCTGCGGAGTTTTGTACAATAAAGACACAAAGTAGTTTCTGTATATTGTAAAAACACTTCCATTACCTTGTAGTAATTTTATTAATCCATTTTGTAAATAAATAAATAACTAAACAAATATCAAATCACAGGTACAATTCTTTGTCTTTACACGTGGGGCGGCGCCATGTTTGTCAGCGGATCGCACGACAGAACGATTCGTCTATGGGACCTACGATCCAGAGGCTGCGTTGACGTCATATCCGCTCCATCAGCTTCCGGTACTGGACCAGGTGAGAAAGCTTTACAAACTGCGATAATATATATATATATAAGCAAATTAACTCATTGCAAAAACTTTTTCCTGTGGTTATTTTCCACTGTTTTCACTTGTATTTGCAGTGAGTTGTACTTAAATAAAGCAAAACGAAAACCTGATTTGACGAGAATCATCAAATCGCTCCAGTGTATTCTTGTTTCGAGTTTGTTTGTTTTCCGTCGGACACATTTACTCCTGTTTTTCATATTATCACAACAAGTAACTTACAATGTTTCTTAATTATCAAATAGCTTTTATTAAAAAAAACAACAACATTAAAATTAAAACTAAACTGGTATAGTGAAGTTATATCATACTTATACGTTCTGAAAGAAACCGTTTTGGACAAGTTCAAGTTTGTAAAGTCATAATCTAATACTTAATTATACTTATCATAAGACATTATTATTATTAGACCTATTATATTTTTAAGACCATATTATTTATTCAGTCCCTTAGGGTTGAAATACTGTTATAAATTATTATTACTATCATGATAGCTTTCTTCTTTTGAGTTTGCTACTATGGTAACAGGATAACACAAAAGATGTGTTATTGCGTAAATTGTATGAAGACATATGTTTCATATTTAGGTGATTTATTTTTTTAACTGTAACTTCTTTTCTTTTGGCATGTCTGCGGACTTACAGCGCTAGAATCCGGGTTTCGATACCCGTGGGGGGCAGAGCACAGATAGCCCATTGTGTAGCTTTGTGCTTAACTTAAAAAACAAACAAACCAAAACAATCTTTTGGTGTGTAAAATCGTCTGACAATTAAGAAATTAAAAAAAGACCATTATGGTGAGTATTATCGCTTTCCACCTTTCGAAAGCGCCTGGGTTATAGAGTTTCGTATCTTTGTATTAAAGTGATTTCATGAACCTACGTTTTTCCTAACATCATGATTGGCAAGATAAAGAATGTTTACGTATTTCGTACAGTTAAAAAGAAAAAAAAACTTTAACACAAAAAGAACGTTTTTTTTGTTTGTTTTTGTTTTACAGGGAGCTCAGTATGTGCAGTTTGTGTTGACCCCTCAGGTCGCCTGCTTGTCTCCGGCCACCAAAACTCCACGTGTATGCTATATGACCTCACTAGTAGGAAGATTATCCAGTGTTTCGAACCTCATACTGCCGAAATCAGGACCGTTCGCTTCTCGCCCAAAGCTTATTATTTGCTTACTGGATCGTTTGATCAGAGGGTAGTTTTATCTGATATGCAAGGTAAGTCAAATTTGGGAAGCATTTTCTGAACTTGACAAATAGGTGAGACTGGAAACCAAAACCAAACGTAACTAGTAACTGATCAGAGACTGGTAACCAAACCCAAACTTGACTAATAGGTGATCACAGACTGGTAACCAAAACCAAATCTGACTAATAGGTGATCACAGACTGGTAACCAAAACCAAACTTGACTAATAACTGATCAGAGACTGGAAACCAAAACCAAACGTGACTAGTAACTGATCAGAGACTGGTAACCAAACCCAAACTTGACTAGTAACTGATCAGAGACTGGTAACCAAACCCAAACTTGACTAG